CAGTTTCCACCCCAGTTCCGCGGCCGATTATGGGCGTTCGTGCAGAAGCTCCGTGGGAGAAACATTGTGATCGTGTTGAGACCGGTCGTAAATTTGACTTCTCACGTGAGGAGGGAGCTTGTTCAGGAGAAGGGCACCGAGGGCCTTTTCGCTTGAATCATCGGTGCCATTGCAGAACTGTCGAACAAGCGAGAACATCTGATTATAAAGAGTGAGAAGATTTTTGCCCTCGAGATCACAAGCTGGAAGTGAGGCTAGCTTCGTGTACAGGATATGTTTCAAGGTGACCTTATCGTCAAGTGTGTGCGAAGGATATCCATTGCCACCCTGTAATTGGCAGGAGTCATGGATAGACCCTGGATGACGCGTGCAATGCTTTGCCTCGCAAACATAATTTCAGGAGAGAAAATTTGGTGGTGTCATCCAGTTGGAGTTTGTTTCCCACTAAGGTAGCGAATCTAGACTGAAATTCCGGGTAATCGAGAAGGTTCCCATCGAAAGTGGGCAGCTCAAGCTTGGAGAGAATGGAAGCGTCGACAAAGTTCAAAAGAGAAGCATCCGAGGTTTGAGGGATGGCAGAAGTATGGAGCGTACCGCGATTCCAAAGTTGGTCCTCATCTGGAGTATGAGTTTCAGACGAAATAGAGGAAGCAGGCAGATGGCGGCGTGCAAACTCTTGATCAATAGAGTTCAAAAGAACGTCAAGTACTTCCAGTTGTTTTACGGCATCAGCGATACTGTCATGATAATCTCCATATTTTTTGATGTATTCAGCTAGTACCTGCTGTTCTTCGGGGTTGACTTGTTGAAGTGTATTCCATTCCTCGTCCAGTTTTGTGATTTTGGCATAGGCCTTGAGCAGGTTGGAACGGATGGTGGTGAGTTCCAGGCGGAAGGTTTCGATTGCATCATCGTTAAGAACCTCGAGTCGTGGAGCAGTTGGTGAAATGTCATATTCCCTCACTGAATCGGTTGCCTCAGAACAGATTTTTTGCAATTGCTTCTTGAAGAAGCCGATCAGTCGTCGGATATTGGCACTGCTATTAGACATTGCTGCAGTTTAGAAAAATCGTGCGTCTGGTTGCTTCTTCTCTGAGGGTTGCTTGTTTCCGTCAAGGTACGTGGGTTGCTTCTCAGGTGAAGCCGTCAAGGTGTGTGGGTTGCTTCTTAGTCGTGAAGAGGGATCCTGCCGTGGTCGCCACTGTTTGGAGACCAGGTCCTTTGGCTGTGAGGTGACGAGGTAACGATGATTATTCGTATGGGCAAAAGCAAGAACACATGGTAAAAGGGGTCTTTTTATATAGACAATGTCG